GAGAGAGAGAGAGAGAGAGAGAGAGAGAGAGAGAGAGAGAGAGAGAGAGATGGATAGATAGACATTGAGATTGTTATGTATTAATATATTAAAAGTTGTCACATGTTCACATTTTTGGCAAAAGAGTAATGGAAATACCAATTCAAGTAGAAAAAAAAATTACCAACTAACAAAGAACTTACTGAATTATATACTCTTTAACAGATGATGGTGGCTAAAAAGTTGCAATGGTTTTAAGTTATCAATATATACATTTTCACCAAGAAGCTGAGGATGTGGCTCAGTGGTAGAACATGTGCTTACATGCCCAAGGCTCTGGGTCAAATCCTCAGCACTGAAACTAAAAATAATCACAAAGAGTAACTTGCAGTGTTATTTATTTATTTTATGTATTTATTTTTGGTGGTGCTTGGGATTGAACCCAGGGCATTGCACATGATAGGCAAGCATTCTTATCACTGAGCTATAGCCCTTTACAGTGTTATGCTAAAATATTAGTATTTTATCATAAAAATCAGCTTAAGATGGTCCAGATGGGTTTTCAAATAATAGAAACTGGCTCTTCATTCCTTTTTTGGAGCTTTCTGACTAAGCAAGCATTAAGCTTTCCAAATAATAAGGCTATTTTCTCAAAATCTGATTAGCTCACTATTGAAGATCACTGAGCCCTTGTCCTTAAGAGCAGAGCTTACCTCATGAGGAGAGAAACTCTACCTTGGAAACTTTTTCTTTTTTTTTAATTCGTTCTTTTTAGATATACATGACAGTAGAGTATATTTTGACATATTATGCATACATGGAGTATAGCTTATTCCAATTAGTAACCCATTCTTGTGGTTGTATGTGACGTGGAGTTTCATGGATGGTGAATTCATATATGAACATAGAAAAGTTACGTCTGATTCATTCCACTCTTTCCTATTCCCATCCCCCCACTTCCCTTCTTTCTCCTTTATGTAATCCCCTGAACTTCTATTCTTTCCCTCCCCCCACACTAGTTGTGTGTTAATATCCACATATCAGAGAGAACATTCAGCCTTTGGTTTTTTGGAATGGGCTTATTTTACTTAGCATGATGGTCTTCAGATCCATCCATTTACTGGAAAAATCATAGTTATTCTTTTGATGGCATTAGTATTCCACTGTGTATATGTACCAAATTCTCTTTATCCATTCATCTGTTGAAGGGCACCTAGGTTGACCTAGGAGGGCCATATTCTTTAAGAAGAGGTTTTCCGTTGTCTGGAGGTAATGCAAACTCCCAGAATAGCAATAGCCTCCTTCACACACCCTCACTTAGGCACAGAGAATATTCCAATTTGTAAGGAAAGGGGCATTCACTGTGGCTTCTGGGGTCTTCATTTTCTGAAGCTCCAGGGCCTCAGCACCTGGGAGCTGCTGTCCCAAACAAAGAAGCAGGCATGCTGCCCAGTCTCAACCCCTTTCCAACCCTCTGGGAAGGCACCACTTCAGATCAAGGGTTGAGCTACATTCCTTAGGCAATATAGATTTACATCCCTTCTCTCCATATGGGACTGCAGACAAATTATTCACCATGGTACCTGTTATGGCTTGGATCTGGAATGCCCAGACCCCAAAACTCATGTGTTGAAAGAATAGCCCCCAATGCAGCAAGATTCAGAGGTGGGGCTTTTAAGCAATGACTGGATCATGAGGGCTCTGATCTCATCAATGGATTAATCCACTTTTTAAGGGTTAATCCATTGATAGGTGAATGGACTATTGGGACCTAGTTGGAGGAAGTAGGGCACTGTGAGGTATGGTCTAGGGGACTAGATCTGTCCCTGAACCCTCTCTCTCCCACTTCTTCCCAGCTACCATGAACTGAGCAGCTTTCCTCTGCCATACCCTTCCACCACATTTCAGCCTTGGAGTCAGCAGACCATGGACAGAATCTACTGAAACTGTGAGCCAAAATAAATCTTTCCTCCTCTTAGTTGTTCTTAGGTACAACTAATTACCTAAGAGTTCGAGGCCATTGGTTCAAGTGTGAGTGGGACAAGGATGTGTGCCTTTTAGTACTCTCAGCTGCAGAAATAGAACTGACCTCCCAGGACTTCAGTGAGGTTTGACTGTGAAACTTCACACACACACACACACACACACACACACACGGTGGCAGAGGCTGTTCATTCCATGTGCCAGAGATGAGCAGACCATGCCAGGTACCCAACTATAACCACCAGTGGTGCTGGGGCACAGGTATCACACCTAGCACCCTGACCTTACAGTCTGGGCTTCTGAGATAGGGAGAACAATTGCATTCTTCCCTGATTAAAACTTCATAAGTAACATAGGTAAAGCTTTTAGCTGCTGCCACCTGATATGCTCTAACAAAATATAGCTGCTGCTTCACTTTGCCTCACATGAACCCCTGGAGTTAAGATACTGTTATCTCTGGCTTTACAAATGAGGAAACTTCAAGCAGGTATGACTCTCGACCCAAGCCACACATGCACAAGGACAAAGCCAGGCCTATCTATGGCAACTTCCCATTCTTATTCCTTCTTCAGGGTCCCTACTGAAAGACACTAAAGCTTTTTTTTTTTTTTTTTTAAGAATTTAACCTTTGTGGGCTGGGGATGTGGCTCAAGTGGTAGCATGCTCGCCTGGCATGCGTGCAGCCCGGGTTCGATCCTCAGCACCACATACAAAGATGTTGTGTCTGCCAATAACTAAAAAATAAAATATTAAAATTCTCTCTCTCTCTCTTCCCCTCTCTTTAAAAAAAAAAAATTTAACCTTTGTATTTTATTTGTTTTTATGTGGTGCTGAGGATCGAACCCAGGGCCTCACTCATACAAGGCAAGCGCTCTACCACTGAGTACAACCCTAGCTCCACTAAGACTTATCCTGGGAAACAAACCCACCTTGGTCATCATCCTAGGAAACAGAATCTACTCTGTACCTGGTGCTATTTTACTTACTTATTAATCTAATTCAATCCTCACACCACCCTGAGTGTGGGCTATAATCATCCCATGATGAGTGGGAGAGCTGAGGCCATAAAAACTGTCACTTGCCCAAGGCACACAGGTAGTCGGTGTAGAGCTAAGACTGTACCCACGTGGCGTGAGCAGTTCCTGCTCTCAACCCTGGCACTTAACTGTATCTTCACAGGCTGCTGCATTCCACTCACCAACAGCTGGCTGAGGCCACACACATCCATACTACGGAGGCAAGGCATCTTGGAGAAGGCAGGTAGGTGCCAAGGTGGCATCCCTGGTTCTTATGGGTCCACTCGGTATACCTGGGCCAGCCTACCTTTGTCAAATGGCTGCAAATTCGTGGCACTTCACAAACACAGCTGCCACCTGCCTGGCAATGGTAGATTCTGTTCTTATTAGCAAGATGCTTCCGATCTCAGGACTCTCCTCCAACCTATGGTGCTTTACAGTCTCTAAACAAACCCATCAGAATTGCCTGTGGCCCAAAACTGGGACAGAGGCATCAGACACCAGAGATGGGATCAGCTCTCTCCCTCAAGATCCCATCAGGGACTTGGGTGGAGTGCCAGAAGGGAGGCCAGTGCTCCTTGTATTCAGCTAGAATTGATTCTAGAATAGACTCAAGTAACTGGCAACAGATTCAGGAACAAGTCAGAGCCCAGGAAAAAGGAGGTGAATAGAAAGGGGAGGTTGGTGATGAGACCCACCACATGAAAGGGCCTTACCTACTGCGCTAGGCTAAGGATATTTAAATGCAAGGGGTGACAGGCAAAGATGCAGTAGAGTTCTACAAGGAAGCCTGGCTGTAAACAATAAATTTTAAAAGACTATTCATTTTCCCTTCATGATTTTCCCCTGTCCCACATGTAATGTGTATATAGAGTGTACAAAGGAGAAACACGATGACAACTCAAAAAAATTCTTTAATAAAAATTATTCATAAAAATCCTAATAAATTTTAAAGAGCAAGATATTCCTTAGTACATTTATAAAAGAACATTTGGTCCTTTTACAAAAAGCTCCCTTTTAATTTAAATACATTTCTTATTTACAGATTAAACATAAAATATCTATAGTTGCAAAACATATTGCACATTACAGAGAAGCATTTGTGTATTTCAGTGAGTTTTCCCAGAGTTTCCAACTCTAGATTTTTTTTGTAAAACAGATTTACCTTTCTCATGTATTAATAAATAAAAATGCAGCTTGTGTTTTGCTATTTAAAATTAAAACAAAATACCTTTTTAAAAATATTATTCCTCTCCTCTCAGAAAGAGGGAAGGGAGTTGTGAATCAGGGAGTTCCACAGGACTGTTTTGTTTTGTTTTAATCAGATTCACATCCAAATTTAAGTGCAGCACAACCCTGAGCCCTGTGACCCTGGGAACCCATGGCCCAGGCCGCTGCACCTCTTGGCTTTCACACGGGGTCCCTGCCCTGCAGGGAAGAGGCACTAGAGTAGGAGCTGGAGGCTTGGGAATGGAAAACCAAAGATTAGAATTTTTTTCTAAGGTCTCTGCTCAGCTACTCCGTGGCCAACATTACCACTGGACCCTACCTTATTACCAGCACTAAATTTGAGACTATCAAAAGAAAAAGAGTTCTGGAGCCCTCCAGGAGAAAGAAATGTCTGACATTGAGTCTACAAACACCAAAGTGAAGAATTACAATTGGCAATTATTCAGTAAACTGAGCTGAGAAACACTGAGGGATATTTTTCTTCCGGGTGGAGGGATCAGGGGAGAGGTGCGTAGGTGTAGAGGGCACTAAGACCCTCAGATTATAAAACTGCATTTACCAAACCAGATAACTGGACTCTTGGCTGGTATTTACCTGCACAGACACCACCCTGACACATTTCGTTTAAGTACATAAAAAACTAAGTGTTGTGCATAGCCCACAATCCAGGGTAAGCAAAGCCCAGGACTTTTTATCAAAAGTGGAAGTTCAATAACAAAGAGCAAGCTCTGAAAAAGAAGCTAGGAAGAAAATGAAAGGAGGATTAGAAAACAGAAGCCAGTTATTCACAATGGCAGCACAGTCAAGAAAGCTAGCAAACATTCCTTTGTGACACACTCTTTCAGTTACATTGTCTACAGGAGCTAGGCCAGCTTTGTAACAATTTGAAACTCTGGCATGGGATAACTGTATCCCATCAGTTCAAACCATATGGTAGTTTTCTACAACAGTTCTTTGCAAAACTGACTTCAACCTGCTGACCAAGCCTGACACTAGAACTAGCTACTCATGGCACCATGAGATGGTCCAGCCTCAGAGCTGTTCCAAAGGATGAAGTCTTCAGATTGGAGGAGTTCCTGGGACAAAATATGGAGCAAGGGGATTTCTCTGACATTCTCCTCCTTGGCCCTTCCCTACCCAGTATTTCAGAATATGGAAGAGAACACAAAAGGCCTGCAAGATATGTTACTGCTGCTGACATCCTGATTTTTGAAAAGAAAACAAGCAAGCTTTGAACTTGGCTCAGAGAACCTTCTTTCATAACTGAAACCAAACAGTGTTCTGGCACCTAGCCACACAAATAATTGACAATGTCACATCACACTTTAATCTGGACAGTCTGGAAGCTCAAATAACCAGGATTAAGTGGCAGTAACTGATTCACCCAGAGTCTCACCAACTGGTGTGAGTCGAGTAGGCAGAAGCCAAGAGGGTTTAAGAGTAAATACGGGGTTCACCTTGGCCTGTACCTAAGACCCGCCTGCTGTACTCAAGGCACCAGGGTGTTGCCTATTCCAAGGGCACAAGGAGAAAGAAATGCCTGAGCTTGCTCTAGAGTGACAGGTAATGGACCCAGGTGAGAAGGGGAACACTGGAGAGCTTGCACACCACCATTGCCACAGAAGCCACAAAGAGGGCTGGGAGGGTAGCCATAGAGAAAACCATGCCAAAGCACTCACTTCCTTCCCTGACATACCTGGTTTTCCGGCCTGTTCTCCCAGGTGTGTCATTCGTGGTCCCACCTCAACTTGCTTGGAGAAAAAGTAGAGGTGTGAACACACAGTGTGTACATGTGTGAGTTAACATTTTACGGAGTTAATGAAAATATTTAAAGTAGTATTTTCAAAGTATTCTGTTCAGTAGATGAGACACTTAATAGAACAATACTTCTAAAATTAAAAAAAAAAGTATTTGACATTTTCTCACTTTAAAACAAATTGCATGAGAAATGTTACACTTACTGCTGAAAATCACCTCTTTAAAAATCCCACAGAAGTGAATGATACATGTTTTCAAAACAAGTACACTTAAATTTTTAAGAAATAAATTTTCTCCCCCTTTTGACTAAAAATGCAATGGCTTAGATGGCTCTTCTTTCTAGGTCTGTTTTGTTTGTGGTGTTGCAGACCGAACCAGGTGCATGCTAGGTAAGCAGTCTATATATACCACTGAGCTACATCTCCCATCCTTATTTCTAGTTTTGAAAAGACTAAAATTGTGTGAAGTATATGAACATTCATGCGTGAGAAACATGATACAGGAGGCTGGCAATTTTTTTAAGAGACTTCCTGCCCTTTCAACCTGTGATGCTGCACAGAAGCCAGGCTAGCTCTGATTTGTATGAACAGTCAGTTTAAGTTCAAGGAGAGAACCTTCTGTCTGGCTAAGAAAATAACAAAAAGGAAAAGAAGGTGTTTTAGCACAAGTTCCTCCCATATGCTTTGCTAAAATCATAGATTGACAGGTCCACTGAATTAAGAACTTCCAGAATCTTCCTAACACACACCCTATTCCCCTTACACTACTGGCCCTATCAATCTGCAATACAAAACAAGCCTGCCACACCATAGCATTAGGTGTGACAGCCCTAGCCCAAACCAAAGTCCATAAGGCACTAATCTAAAGCCTGTACTACACAGAGAAATGGCTCAAGGTCATCAGAAAGTCACCTGATCACTTCTTTCTCCCTGATTAGCTAATTGGCACTAGACACAGGTCACAAAAATGAAACAAAACTCTTAATCCAAAGTTGGTCAGAATTCTGAATCCTTGGTCAGGAAATATGAGAAAGAATGAAGCTCAGACAATCTTAGGGATTTTGTTGTTTTCTTTTTTTTCCCCTAAGAGGCACCCCCGGTTCTGGAACCAAGGGAGTATCTCACATAGGTCCAGGTTCAAAACAAATGCAAGATATCACTGTTAGCTAATCCTTACACCATAATAGAACAACCAAAAGACTGTTAGGATTCCAGTTAGACCATTATTCTTAAGCAAAGAACTTTGTAACACTGAAGATTACCTGGGGGCATAATTGAACAACTGGATCGTTTCCCCCTATGTGATCCAAAATCATAGTTGATATATGGGGGAGAGCCCCAGTGGTCCAAAAGGAGAGAGAAAGCATGACACTTTCAATGTAATATATAGGGATGCCAAGGGAACTTCAGGCCCTTTTGCATAGAAATTCCATTCCCAATCCTCTAACCAAGAGGTGGCAATACTGTAGTAGGGCAAGTGCTGGCAAAGCCAGGAGACTTGGACCCCAAATATGAAGCTGAGAAGGTCCATCCAAAGATGCCCCACCTATTGTGCTCACTAACATCAGCATAACAACAGAAGCCAATTTCCGTGTACCTCCTCATTTCAAATTATAACTTTAAGAAAAAGCAGGGCATTTTATTGAACAGAAGGAAAACACTGAAGTGTGTAAGGATTACCCCAAGGTGTGTAAGGAGTTGGACAGGAACTCCCACACTGTCACAGACAGCCAGATTCCACCCCTTCCCCTGCAGACTGGATGCTGGCGTGGTCTGGTTCAGGTGTTTAGATTTGGTTTAAGATGAGGTCACACAGAGGAGAGCAGATCAAATCAAGCCAACCATTTGGTCAATCTGTCGCATGTAGATGCTCTTCAGGGGCAGGGAGTACCTCCTCTCATCAGGAACACGATTGCACTAGGAAGACAAAAATGAATACCAAATTAAAACCCACGAGTTGACCTCTTGGGAGATGTGATTGCATGACCTCTTGGGAGTTGGCCTCCCCACCGGGCCATGCACATGCCCAGAATCTAGACCCCTCTAATGGGCCTGTATCCTGGCACTTGACACAATGGGATCAGTGAGTATGGCAGGTCAGAGGTCTCTTCTTTCTAAAAGAAAAGACACTGCCTGAGTCTAAACCCAGCTCCACTGAATAAACCCAGGGTTCCTCAACCTGGGTACTACTGACATTTGGGGACAGATAACTCTGTTGTGGGGAGCTGTCCTGGGTATTGTAGGACAGTCAGCAGCATTCCTGGCTTCCTGCCAGAGACCAGTGACAATTCCTAGCCCTCAATTGTGACAACCCAAAGTATGTCCAGTCATTGCCCAGTGTCCCTGGAGGAGCAAAATCACTCTCTGATTGAGGATCACTGACGAAATGTAATACCCTTACTTTATGGATAAAGAAATGGAGATCCAAGGAGACCAAGGCATTCATAGTAAGTGCTTAGCAGCCAGGAATAAAAGCTGCATCCCTTGGGTCCTTTAATCTATCCAGAATTTCAGAAAATACTTCAGCTTTTTGAAAATGTGTGTTTTTCTGAGTTACGTTCTTCTCATCCATATACAATCTAAAAGCATAAGAGTACAATTTTCTTTTTATTACAGACACTCCCTTCATACACTTAAGGACGATGTGGTTCTTGCAACTTAACCAAATGTATTATCCCTGGAAACAGCTGTCCACATGCATTCCTTATACAGTTCTTCCCCAAAGCATTTACCCAGGGCTCTGCACTAAAACTCAGAGTAGTGCACATCCCCAAAAGATCAGGACCTCAGCCCTTCTGTTGGTCCCACATTCCCTCACACTTTTGTAGACACAAATTCTTCTGCCTGAATATCCCTTCCGGGAAGCTCCTCCTCATCCTTCAAGCGCCAGCTCAGTGAATCCTCCCTGATTTTCTTACAAGTTGCTCCCAGCCCCTCAGTATCCCCAGCACTACTAACATACACCTAGGGAGGAGTTGGCCTCCCCACTGGGCCATGCACATGCCCAGAATCTGGACCCCTCTGATGGGCCTGTATCCTGGCACTTGACAGAATGGGATCAGTGAGTACGACAGGTCAGAGGTCTCTTCTCTCTAAAAGAAAAGGCACTGCCTGAGTCTAAACCCAGCTCCACTGAATGAATGACCCAGATGCTACCGTGTCTTTACTCATCTACTAAAAGCGGGTTGTTGTGAAAAATACAGGAAGCATGTAGAGCACTGCCTGACACATAGTGTGCTGCCGATCATTAACACCCCTCTTCCTATCCTTCACAACTTTGCTCTGTTCACTTCATCAGACTACATGGCCCTGTGGAAACTGAGGTGGTCTACCTGTGCTCTGGCCTGTTGATTTAGTTCACAGAATGATGGGAAAACTTTCACAAAAAGAAAGGTGCTGAAAGGGTGCCCCCAGCCAGGCAACCAGTGTGGGAAAGGGGCAGACCTGACAATGAGGCTTTTTCTGAGAAGACAGGTGGCATCCGGTGCACTGTGGGATAAGATCTGAGATTTCAACTGGTCCAGGGTCAATTTCCTGATCCTTACTTTCAAACCATTCTTGTGATTCAAACCAACACAACCCTATGGGCCTTCCATGAAGGCCTCAGGAACTTGCATTTCCACATCTTCCCACTGTCCACCAGGAGAACCTGGGTATGCTGAGTCCAGCACTTCTATAAATGAAACTGGAAACCCAGTGTACTCTGAAAAGCATCATCAGGGGCTGGGATTGTGGCTCTGTGGTAGAGCGCTTGCCTAGCATGCACGGGGTCCCTGGGTTTGATCCTCAGCACCACATAAAAATAAGTGAATGGAATAAAGGTATTGTGTCCAACTACAACTAAAAAATAAACATTAAAAAAAAAAAAGCATCATCAGCTGTAACAACTCTGACTGCTCTTCCCTCTCCTACTGGCAGGTGACTTTGCTGGATCTCTTCCATTGCCCCTTCGGATCCACTCTCCACCCACTCTGGCACCCAGGAGGACAACCTAATGGATTGCATCAACAGGTTCCTTTGCCTTCTGGCTTCTCATGGACATAACCAAAGAGAAGTTCCAGCAAGAGATCAGAAGGAGGAGGAAAGATCAGGTATTGCCCACACCATCAACAAAGCCACATCCAAGCAGTGGCCCGTTCCATGGCCACACCTCACACATGAGGCTCTCCTTCCAAGATACTGTGGCCACTGTCTCCACTGCCCTTGCAGCCAGGTAACTGTGCTGCTGCTCCTGGTTTCCTTACACCCTGATGACACATCTAAGTCAATGGTCCCTTTATGAAACAGCAAACTGAGTGTGCCATTCACTTTGTTAGGGACTCTCAGTGCTAAAGGAATTAGTTTCTTTTCCTCTTCCTCCACATGCACACCGCCCCTGGAAATGCAACTCACATTAGAGCTGGAGTTGAGGACTTTTAACTCATGAGGTTTTGGCCTGTGCACAAACTTTCCCTCTTGGTCCTTTCCTCTATCTTCAGAGAAGAATTCCTTCCAAGGTGATTCTCGAAGATGTTTGTCCACGGATACAATGTGGCCCTCTGTTGTAAACATGTATTTGGATCCAGATTTGTGTACTGGATTCTCCTCATCAAATAGCTAGAGGGACAGAAAGAAAAAGGATGGCTCAGTGGTACAGTATTTGCTCAGCTAGCATGCATTAGGACAAGGATTCAATCCCCAGCATCCCCCCACACCAAAATAAATGAATAAATAAAAGATATAACTGGCAACTGTGAGGCTGGGGTTATGGCTCAGCGGTAGAGCGCTTGCCTAGCACATACATGTGAGGCCCTAGGTTTGATCCTTGGCACCATACTAAAAAAATAAATAAACAAAATAAAGGTATTGTGTCCAACTACAACTAAAAATAAATATTAAAAAAAAAAAAAACTTACTTCTAATTCATAGGAGAGTGTCCCAGCTACTCAGACCAGACTTGCAAGAAAAGGCATCAAATGGACACTGGTTTCAAGGCAGGATCCACCTATTTAAACTCAAATGCCTAGACCTGTTCCAACTTCCATATCCCACCCACACCCAGAGACTGAGAAACCCCCGGGTTAGGACCCAAGCACACATGGTCTATAAAGGTTCCCTGGATGATTCTCATATACCCACCAAGAGTCCTCATGCTCAAATTCTAGAACTAACCCCACCTCAGACACACCTAGACCCTAAAATTGGAGATGCTAGAGTCAAGGAGCATGTTTTACCCATCACCGTATCCCCAGGGCCCAGCCCAGAGCCCCATACATCTGTCAACATTTAGCTCAGTCTTGAGTAGGGCTCTGCAGCCACAGTGGCTCACAGGCAGTCCTTTCCAGCAACAGCAGATGTGAAGGGAATAAGAGAAGGTGCAAAGGGGCATCAGGAAAAAAACTAACCCACTATGGGATGAGTCGGGAAGAAGGCAAATATTCAACAAATGCTGAATGAAGGAAAGCAGCAGTCTCACCTTATCCATGAGGGAGAGTTTCAAGACATTCCACAGATGCCCAGAATCACAGACAGTACTAAACTCTAAACTATTTATTCCTACCGAAAATTCTATGAAACAATTTTATATACAATTGGATGTAGTAGGAAACTAGCAATAATAACTAATAATAAAGTAGAATAATTGCATAACAATATACTGTAATTAAAAAATTTAAACTTGTGAATTGTTTATTTCTAGAATTTTCCATTTAATAATTATAGACTACAATTAAACTCAGGTAACTAAAACCATGGACAGCAAAACCACAGATAAGGGGAAACTATTACACAGAAAAGTTATTGGTGACCTAAACTAGTTTACAGATGAAAAGTGAGACTTGGCATAGCTCATGGGAAAAGAATGGGGTACAGCCTAGGTTCTTTTCCTCCTAGACTGGGCTCTTTCCCCTTGCACATGCTATGGGGTCTCCTTCCTTTACTCCAGAACGGTCCTGTTAACATCCTTCTGACACCATGGCTGCTGGCTGGAGAGGCTTAACCAGGCTGCACTGAGAACAAGACCTCTGCACACCTAGGGTACAGCCACAGGCAACTCTCCTCCCACAGGCTAGACTACATGGTCTGCCAGTGGACACACCACCTCCTCTCTGGGCTTCTGTAGAAAGTAACCAGTCAAGAGAGAGATCTGGAACCATCAGACCAGTAGGTCCAAAACTTGGCTTTGTACAGAATCACTGGAGACACTTGTCAAAATTAAATTGCCAAGGGGCTGGGGATGTGGCTCAAGCGGTAGCGCGCTCGCCTGGCATGCGTGCGGCCCGGGTTCGACCCTCAGCACCACATACAAACAAAGATGTTGTGTCTGCCAAAAATTAAAAAATAAATATTAAAAATTCTCTCTCTCTCTCCCCCTCTCTCTCTTTAAAAAAAAAAAAAATTAAATTGCCAAGTCAACTTGAAAAAATTCTGACTTAATAAGGCCCCACAGTAATTCTGACCCAGCCAGCTCCAGACCTCGGAACCACTGAAATGGATGACACAATGGATCAGTACTGTTGCTACCTCCGAATCCTCCAAGCAGGAGCTCCTGACACTCTGCATCTCCAGAGAATTCTCTGTACGTGGCATACCAAGTCAAGTAGCAGAGAGGGAAGGAGAGCAGCTACATACACAAATGCACCACCCCTCCATGTAGCAGAGCAGAGAAGTGGAAAGAGCTCAGGGCAGGAATGAGGAGCACCATTCCAGCCTCAGCTCTGCACGTAGTCACCCCAAGACCTCAGGAAAGCCACCTGAACTCAGTGTAGGCTGTGCTTTCCAAAGGAAGAACAAACATGGACTAAGTGATGCCACAGGTTCCTTCCAGGTCCAGAAATTCTCCCTGTCCACACATGCACAAGTGTGTGCCTGAGGGTGTTTTATGGACAGAGACAGCTGGGCTGCAGGTCTTGGGCAAGACCATGTACAGAGAGAGCAGTGAAAAGGAGTCATAAATGCCACTCTCAGGCTGGGCTGGAGTGCATGCCTACATTGCAAACAAACAAACAGAAAGGAAAAACAAAAAAAAAGCTATCAAAAACCACTGCTTTTCTCCTCAGAGAAGCCTTCCCAACCACTATGCACACAGCTACTAACCAAAAGTTTATTTATGTTTATCTGCAAACAACTCCTCCCCATGGTTTGCAACCATGAAGTCAGCACTAGCCATAGTACTGAAAGTGCTGGCATTCCAGAGTATGCACAGTGTCCAGCACACAGCAGGGCCAAGAATGCTGCAAAAATGCCTGCTCTGAGCCATGCTAAACAGCCTTGGTTGATCTTTCAGCACACATACCAGGTATAAGTATTTACAGGTCTCACTGAGAAAGAAGCTCTCCATCCGGTCCTCTTTAGACTTGTCTATAACGTGGTGCAATGTGGCATACCCACACCTGCAAAACAGATGTCTGGTCAGTCCAGCCTCTGCTCCTTTCCCCCTGCTGATGGATGTCAGAAGAGAAGTATTTTATTAACCTGATAACCAACCAAGTTACATAATACCATATGATGAATTAACTATAGAGCTAGGATTATAGATCAGGGGTGAGGTGCTTGGCTAGCAAAGGCAAGGCCCTGGGTCTGATCCCTAGCTCCAAGGAGAGGGGGAAATCACTGCAAACCTATGTTATTTTGTTTTTTTAGCATGGATAGTTTGTAAATTTATTTTAAAAGTGTCAGCTGCTAAACTACCACGTTAGTTCCCAGACTGGGGAAGGGAGGACAGTGCAAGCTATTTGCCAAAGATACAGTATGAGATCAAGAAAGTGACTGGCATCAAATTTAGAAAGATTGGTTTAAATTTTTAGCACCAGTACCTAGAGAACTTGCTATGAGGGTTTTCTAAAATAGTATTTTCTAAGAAAATACTTATGATACACTGATGTATAAAAAACAAAAGCTGAGCTGGGTGCAGAAAACATGCCTATACTCCCAGTTACTTGGGAGGCTAAGGCAGGAGGATCACAAGTTTGAGGATGACCTGGGTAACTTAATGAGACCCTATCTCAAAATAAATAAAAAGGCTGAGGCAGGAGGATCACAAGTTCATAGCCTGCCACAGCAACTTAGTGAGGCTCTAAACAAGTTAGTGAGACCCTGTCTCTAAATAAAATACAAAAAGGGCTGAGGATATGGCTCAGTGGTTAAGCACCCCTGGGGTTCAATCCCTGGTACCAATAATCAATCAATAAAAATAAAAGGGCTGGGCATATAGCTCAATGCTAGAGTACTTGCCTAGCATGTATGTGGTCCTAGATGGAAGGAAAGAAGGAAGGGAGGGAGGTATGGAGGGAGGGAGGAAAAACATAGTCAGCAGGTCACAAAATTGAAATATAGAATACGGTTTTATGCATACATACATATATGTACACATCATATATACAAATATATTTTAAAAGACTTTATATTCTTAAATGCTGACTATAGTTATCTGTAAAGATCACAACAAAAGAATATTCTAAATCTTGGTATTTCCTTTACTCCCTAAATGTTTTTGTGTTATTTGCATAACTAAGGAAAATGAGTTACTTAAAAACAGTCTGCTGAAACCTTACAGTTTTAAAAAAAGAGAGGAAACATAAAAATCAATTCCCACTATACTGAGATGCTACTACATCAAGAGGTAAACCATTTCCCCACAAAATTAACTCTAATGATCTAAGTTCTACAAATTAAAATACAAAGTAGGATATTTCCCCACAATAACTCAAATCACAGAGAAAAGAAAGAACTTAGAAAACTGACTTGACTTTTGTGTACTTTTCCAGACTCTGTAGAATGTCCATTCCTACATGGAGGTAGAAGGGATTCTTGGTTGCCTACAGGGAACACAAGAGACTTTTATAAGGTCTGGGAAGACATGCTATCAACAACCGTCATGAGTGTAGGGTTCCCCAAGAAGACGCGTCACCAGCTGAGCAGGGTTCAGCTCACTTCATCTTTAAGGTCATGAATATAAAGGACAAGATGTTCTATCGGTCCACATCACAGCACACCTTTAATAAGGGTCAGAAAATCTGGTCTTGGGTAGAACAATACTCTACTTTGGCTCTCCTGATCCTCATCATGGTCAGAAATGAAACAATGCCCACCCTGACAGTACCACATCTGAGAACAAACCTAGTTTCTACCTTGCCTCAAAACGCCCTAGAAACCTTAGATACAGGAAACAGGACATTGGCCCCATCCCAGTTATAGCAACATAAGGTGAGGCTAATGGGAATAAGCCCCTTAAAGCATCTATGGAAGGCCTCTACAATCAGTTCTCAGGTTGATTCAGTATTAAAAAAAAAAAAAAAAAATTGAGGGGCTGAGGTTGTCAACTTAGTAGTAACAGCACTTCCCCAGCATGAGGAAGGCCCTAGGTTCCATAATGCCTCTTCTGTTATATGCTCTTAGATGATTTGTGGGGAGGAGAGGAGCTGAGTGTGGTGGTTGGTGCACACCTATAATACCAGCAACTTGGGAGGCTATAGCAGGAGGATCGCAAGTTTGAGGCTAGCCTTAGCAACTTAATGAGCCCTGTCTCAAAGATAAGACAGCTGGGACAGCTGGGCGTGGTGGTGCACACCTATAATCCCAGTGGCTCAGTAGACTGAGAAAGGAGGATCCCAAGTTCAAAGCCAGCCTCAGCAATGGTGAGGTCTAAGCCATTCAGTGAGACCCTGTCTCTAAATAAAATACAAAATAGGGCTGAGAATGTGGCTCAGTGGTCAAGTGCCCCTGAATTCAATCCTCAATACCAAAATAAATAAATAAAGTGAAAATGACTTGAGATATACTCAGAGTAGAGCAACCCTGGGTTCTAGTACCTTCAAAAAAGAAAAATAGGAAAGAGGAGGTAGCAACAGAAACAAAGAGGTATAAGCCCATAGGAAACAGAACTAAGCTTAAGAGAACTCAAGCACGCATGCTGTGCTCAGAGCATGCACAGCCACAATCCAGCAAGGGTCAGAAAGGCCACACTCCAGCCAGGGTCAGAAAGGCCACGTATGATATCACCTCTTCCCATTTTTGAGAGGTTCTGAAAAACTCTTGAGGTCTCACTTTAGGCATGAGAACTATTACCAGTTTCATAGGATTTCTCCTTTTTTCATCTAAAAGCAAATGGCAATGATTCAGTATAAGAAAATTTTTGAGGGGCTGAGGTTGTCAACTCAGTAGTAGAGAGCACTTCCCCAACATGAGCAAGGCCTGAGTTCCATAACGTCAGCACCCGCCTCCGTGTCCCTGCCCCAAAATTACTGAATAAATCCAAACCGTAGTACCATAGTACTACTACTAGAGTGTAAAACAAATTAGGTTCTACGTGGCCCACACAGGCATCTGTCAGAGGCCTCCTGAGCTGCATGGGAGGGACAGCTTCTTGGAAAGTTCAGTTACTCTATTGTGTATGTGAACTGATACAGACTCTCCATGAGTATGCATGAGTGATGTGCACAGAAGCATACATATCAGGAAGGAGACTTTCTACAGTTAGAATGACATTCTTTGGCACTAAAGCAACTGGATGAAAGGTGAACATCATGGGTGTTTGTTTTTTTTTGTTTTGTTTTGTTTTAATGGTACTGGAAATTGAACCCAGGGCCTTGTGTATGCAAGGCATTCTACCAACTGAGCTATATTCTCAGCCCATTTTTTTTTTTTTTAGTATTAGACAAAAATCAGCATTCAGAAGAATCCCAGATGACTTCCTCTACAGATAAGTAACAGACTGTCTATTTTTCAGAATAATTAGTATAAAGACCAGGATTCCACAGTATACTGGAACTGAATTGCATCCCAGAAAAGGGTACTTTGGTCAGAGTTGAAACACATTAAGGACAAAATTTTCCTCACAAATATTAGAAGAGGTGTGAAATAAGTCCTATAGTAAAAACATGATTCTTAGCAAAATGTGAGGTTAACAATATATTTAGTTGGGAGGCCAAGGCAGGAAGATTGTGAGTTCAAAGGCAGCCTCAGAAACAGCGAGGCACTAAGCAACTCAGTGAGACTTTGTCTCTAAATAAAATACAAAATAAGGCTGGGGATGTAGCTCAGTGGTTGAATGCCCCCGAGTTCAATCTCTGGTATACTCCCCCAACACACACACAAAAATCATATTTAGGCTGCATATATTACAGTGGCACATGCCTATAATCCCAATAACTTAGGAAGCTAAGTCAGAAGGATCACAAGTTTGAAGCCAGTTTGAGTAACTTAAACCCTGTCTCAAAAAAATTAAAAAGGCTGGGTAAGTAGCTCAGTGGTAAGTACCCTGGGTTCAATCCCAAAGACTAGGAAAAAAAAATCAGCTGCAGATGCTCACTTTCTCTCCACCCTGTGGAACCCTGACAATATTACAAATAGGTAGTAACTCTGCCAAGTCTCTGTGAAACAACAAACTGTTCAATGAATGCCAGTACCTGGTAGAGGAGATATGTGGATTCCACCAACTCTGGTCTAAGTGGGTAGAAGAGAACATCAGGGGCCTGCAGCTGCCAGTTATACCTTTCAGGGAGGGCCCCATATCGTTTCCATATGGCATAGTAAAAGGCATGGAGGCAGATGGCATCTTCCACGTCTCCTATCAAAACCTAAGAAGAAGATGACACAGGTCACCAGGCTGAGATGCTTTCTCAAGAGCAAGAAGAAGTGACACAGAGGCTTTTGTCTGACCCCTGGTTCTAATCTGTCCTCACATAGCTAGAGATAAAACCAACCCAAAAGCAGTGGCCCAGACAGATGCACTCTGTATCTGGCCATCATATGCCACGCTGATGTGAATGGCATGGCAGAGCTTAAATGACTCATGAACAAAAAACAAACAGCAGAGATGGATCATCCAAACATCCCATGCAATTACTTTGCAAGTCTGGTTCTGTACTTACATAGGTTGACTGTTTAATATTCTAGAGTCTGATTTCACAAAGAATAATCAAGACATGTTATGCAAATCTAGAGGAGCTAAAGAACACTCAAGAGATTGAGAGATTGAGATAGGGGGGAAACAAGGATGGAATCCCTTTCCATTGATTCATTATTCTTAGCAAATACCTGCAGTCCAGGGAAGAAGGCCTGCAGAGAGTCAATCCAGGTGTTCATGAGTTGCCCGCTGAACATGTTCACATTGACATAGAGAGGGGGGTCTCCTTCTCCTTCATTACAGGCTTCCCGTCTGCAAATTCAAGCAGCACATGCAAAGGTGAAAAGAAAAAGAAAGTTCACTGAGAGCTCTAGCTCTGTTGCTCTAGCAGTCCTTGGTAGTTTTATTTAATCAGAATCAACATTAATTTTTCTTAACTCGTTTGGAGATAAGATTGCCACTAGCTGAATATACTAGAATGTAGCAGAAGATAACATCTACTACAGAATAAAATGTATTTTGCAAAAATCACTTTGGCATTCAGATATAAGAATACTGCTGTGTAACAGAATCGATACAATGCATGGTTCTGTGTGGGATTTGACTTGAATGGGGAAACTTGGTTCTTTCTGTACAAAGACTTTCTTCTCATGGACCTGAAGGAATAATACATCAGGGCAGGACCCTTGGAGATTACTGCTCAGTTTAGACTGGGATTTTGAAAAGCAAAAATGACTTTCTAGCCAGAAACCCTCTTCCTTAAACACAGCACTCACACGAGTGCTTCCCATAATACCTAATGTAGAAATGAGTCCAAGAAAATCTTACAAAGCAGGAAACTCAGTAGCCATAACCCACATTGGCCACTGAACACATAAATGCATATAAAAATAAACCTGGAGAAGAGTGACAGCAGATTAAAGCCACTGTAGCTCTGAATGGCTCTCCCTTCACATTCTCTCTCTCCTGCTATTTGGAATGTACAACCAAGAACAGCAAATAATGCTGTTTTAACAAGCTCAGAGGGAGTAAAAATGTGGTAACTGTCATTTCTTTCATCAGGTATAAAGACCAATCCTAGCAATTCTTCAGAAAGAAAAGGGATGAAAATAATGATTGCCTTGAATTACAGCTCTCTCTACAATTACAGCCACTATTAGACACAGGGATGTGTCATCCCTTCTAATAGCCAGTGTCCACAATGGCTCCTAATGACCTCTACTTTCTGGTGAACACGCTTATGCATCAGGGGTTGCTCTAGGTGACCAACAGTCTGGCAGAAGGGCTGGCACATCATTTCCAGATGAAGTCATGAAAGCATTATCCGCCCCCCCCTCGCTTTTGTATTCCTCTCTCTCTGTCCTCTCTCAGATCACTCATTCTGGGGAAGCCTGCGGACATGAACTCCCCACAGAAAGGCCTCTGGCAAAGAACAGAGACTTCTAACCCATAGCCAGTGAGAAACTAAAGCCTGCCACCCCCATCTCCACACACACTAGTGAACCTCAAAGGAGATCCTCCAGCCCCATTCATGTTTTGAATGGCCATGACCCTGGCCAACAACTTAAGAGCAACCAGGAAGACCCTGGGCCAGATCCATGGGCTCAGCTGCTTCAGATCCCTGTCCTTCAGAGACTACACAAGCTAATGTTTGCAATGTTAAGCCACTAGATTTTGGAGTACTATGCCATGTGACAGATAACTAATACAGACCTTCACCCCCAAATGACTAACAAACAAGTAGGAGAGATGGTAAGGTGAGGGCAGACACAGAATAGGAGTTTATGTTAATAAAAATGGGAATATTTCAAAATGTAAACTCTTCAAGTGACAAAAAGAAAACATACCCTCTTCTTAAGTAGTTTTGAATGCTCTGATATGCAGCATTAAACATTTCTAGGTCTTCTTTTTCTCCAAAGAGAATGTAGGACTTCAAGAGGTATTCATAGAAGGAGTCCAGCCCAGCACCCAAGCCACTCTGCTTTCCAACCCAGTCACCTGTCTGGATGTTCACAACATTGCCTGCGGAAACAAACAAGGACTTCAGTCCCAGTCATCTTGGGGGGAGGACAGTCCTCCTACTTTAACCTCACTGCTTTATGGCGCCCTCATCCTCACTAACAAAGAAGTGAATACTTGGCCCTAAAATTTTTGTCAGTCCTATCAGTATCTTGAACAGCCTAAAGATCTTTCTGAATATATAGACTGAACCACTGACATAAAAAGGAGATGATAAACATTTTTTTACTTTTTCCCCCTTTTCCACATTTTTTATTGGTGCACTGTAGTTATACATAATGATGGGATTTGTTATTACATCATGCACATGCATACAATAAAAAAGGGGGATAAACACTTAATGCAAAGAAAAATAGGTTTTATCATTTTGCTTTTCCAGATTGGCAATCTATTTCAAAGTCCAAAGGAATATTTACAGCCCTTAACTCAGTACTATCAGTCCTGGGAATGTATTCTGAAAAGATAGTAGGGGATAGGAAAGGTAGCAGAATACAACAATTACTAATAGGGCATTATGTAAAATTGTGGATGTGTAACCAACGTGATTCTGCAATCTGCATTTGGGGTAAAATTGGGAGTTCATAACCCACTTCAATCTAATGTATGAAACATGATATGTCAAGAGCTTTGTAATGTTGTGAACAACCAATAAAAAACAACAACAACAAAAAAACTCTTTCTCTGGTGTTAGACACTTGGATTATTTCTCTCTTTTTTTTTTTTTTCCACATTACAGATAATTTTCTGTTCAACAATAAATTTTTTTCTTTTGGTACTGGGGATTAAACCTAGGGACACAGTATACTGAGCTATATTCCCAGCCTTTTTAAAATATATATATATTTTAGTTGTAGTTGGATACAATACATTAATTTTTATTTTATTTTTTTACGTTTATGTGGTGCTGAGGATCAGGGCTTCACATGTGCTAGGCAAGCACTCTACTGCTGAGCCACAACCCAGCCCCCCCAGTCTTTTTTATTTTGAGTTTGAGACACAATCTCCCTAAGTTGCTGAGGCTGACTTCAAACTTGACATCCTCCTGCCTTAGCCTCCCTACTAGCTGGCATGCACCACTGTGCCTGGCTATACTTTTTGTTTTAAAAACATAGAGAGAAGATGTGAGGAAAGGGGAGGGGGGATAGCAGAGAAAGCGTTAATAGACAATTATGTAAGCTTTTAAACATGGTGACTATGAAAATAAGATAATTCGGAAACACTGGAATGAACTATCAAATATAAGGCAAAATAAAAATCTTTGTGTTTGTTAACATGCTATAATTTAAAATATGTAACAGTTGTACATCCTAGGCTACAAAATTAAAAATTCATGGTGATACATGTAAATCATTTGGTGATGGATTGACAATTTAAGTGACTTTTCTTCTAATATTGCTGTTAAGTATAAGAAATTTGTATATAAATTTTAGAATATAAGAAAACAAAAGACGCAATCACTTGTGCGTGTGCTTGTGGCACTGGAGACTGAACCCAGGCCTGGTGCACACCAGGCAGATGCTCCACCACTGAGCCACATGCCCAGCCCCCAAATTCTCCTTTTTTTTTTTTCTTTTTCTTTTTTGGTACTGGGGATTGAACTCAGGGGCACTTGACTACTGGGCCACATCCCCAGATCTATTTTGTATTTTATTTAGAGACTGGGTCTCACTGAGTTGCTTAGTGCCTCCTTAGTGCTAAGGCTGGCTTTGAAACCGTGATCCTCCTGTCTCAGCCTCCTGAGCCACTGGGATTATAGGCATGTGCCACCGCACCTAGCCCCCACAATCATTTTTAAAAATCAAAACTTGAACCCACTATGATTCTATGGTTCTAGAGCAATCCACCAAATTACTTCCCAACACCAAAAGAAAACATGTCCCAAACAAGTATAGGAGGGAAAAAACCCATTGTGATTTTGCAAAATTGATAATTATTAAAGATGAATGATGAATATGTAGGTGTTATTTGTTCATTATATTTTCTTTCTACTATTAATGTTTGAAATATTCCATAGTAATTTTTATTAAATATTTATTTTTTAGTTGTAGCTAGACACAATATCTTTATTTTATTTATTTTTATGTGGTGCTGAGGATTGAACCCAGGGCCTTGCATGTGCTAGGTGAGTGCTCTACCACTGAGCCAACCCCAGCCCTCCATAGTAATTTTTAATTAATACATTAACCAAACATTCTCAAGGGGAAAAGCCCACCTAATATGGGTCTAATCTAGGCTTTCAATCTACCATCACACTTCTCAATATTTTAAGAGGAATTTATCCCATAGTAATTCTAAAATTCCTATATTTAGAACCTTATATTAAAGTAATAAAATCTGCCTCCAGGCTATTCTTTTTATAGCATTTCCATTAACAATTTTCAAATGGAATATGCCAAGGGATCCAAGATGGAAGTGAGCTCTCCAATAACATACGTATAATTCTTTTCCATCACACCCTACAGCCTCACTCTAAGCCAAAGGTCACATAAAGAATTTGGGTATGGAGACAATGAGGGCCACTCTTTCTGAGTTGTCAGTTTTCAAATTCACTAGTACAAGGAAGCAACAGTAAAGGAGAGCCCCAGGCAGAGAAGGTAAAAGGAGACGGAACCATATGTCATGTAGACCCAATGGCAGAAGAAGGGGTACCACACCTAATAATCCCGTGTCATTGCTCCGGAGGTTCCACAGGGCTTTCACTGCTCGCCTGGCCACCCACTCAAATGTGGAATCCCCTAACAGTCTGCTCAGAATCCCAAACTCCACCAGAAGGGAGCCAGCTCCGGCCGTACATGTCTCATTATTGCTGTCAGGAGGAACACCTGTCTTCAGATTCACCTGGAAACAGGAAGAGTGAAAGGTCTCACAACAAAATCCAAGAACCCATGGGCTGACAGGCCAAGTCACAGACCCAACACTCAGCTGATAAACCCTGAATGGTGAGAGTCAGCCCACCACCTGCCTGTTATACCCAAGATAAATATGTGAGTTCAGATTGACAGATACAATCAAGACAGTAAGAACACTGGAGTCTTGTCTCATTAATAAGAGCATATCTTCAGGGGATGATTACAACACTATTCACTAAACCATCTCTTTCAGGCAGGTTTTCTTCATAGTTACAAATGCACCAGGCTCTGGGAATAGAGAAAAAGGCAAGTTATAGAATCGTTTCTAACTTTTAAGTGAGCTACTATGAACTCACTAATGCTCAGCAAACAAACAAATCTAGACTGGGAGAGAAGGGAGGTTCAGCCAAAGTATGACAGTCAGTGTCATCATGGAAGCTCTGTGGTCTGGCAGTTCTCCCGGGTTACCCAAAAGGCTGACTCAATTCCCAGAGGAGCTCTGGCTTGGCAAATGAGACAAAGATACAATCTCATTCTACATTCTGCATTGAAATCAGCAGCTAACTTGCTGTTTTGTCTAATCTTTACTTGAAAGATCCATGTAAGAACATTCAGTAAGCTCCTACAATATACACGAGGATCTTTGGAGAAAGAGATCCAAGTCAGAAATGAAGACAAATTTTCCATACAACTTGGTAGCAGGGGATATAAGTCACAGGTATAAAAGGACTTGTGAATACTGAACATGGGAACATAAATTTCTTAAGGGGATGGATTAAGTCACCATGTCACTGTGTGCCCATCTCACAGTAGGTACTCAGTAAAACTAAATGAATTAAAACCCATTTACATTGTATTTAGAACCAAATTCTCCCAAGGACACCACTTACCTCTCCTACCTCAGCCCCATTCCTTCTATCAAAGAGTTTTAATTCAGGAAAATGGTCACTTGTCAACCACAAAAGGCCAAACCAGTCTACCTACCCGAGGATAGGGGATCCCTGTCTTGGTGTTTTCAAAGGCAGGAAGGAGCCGCACAGCCAGGTCATGGGCCATGTGCAACAATTCATTATCATAATCCTTGATTGCCATGTCACCAAAGGGCTGCTTGGAGTCAGTTATTATTCTATGGGCAGAAAGGAGGCTTCCCAGAACCCTAATTGCAGGAAGAACAAAACATAAAATAAAATACTGTTTCTTATATGTACAAACAATCCAATTCAAAATGACAGAAGAATTCTCTATTTCCTTATGGACACTGAGCTGACTTGACTCAATGGCCTCCTGAAGTCCTTCCCAGCCCCAAAAATCAAAGTTCACAGCATTACTGACAGGGAGAAAGGGAAGTCACTCATCAGATTTGGTCACCTATACCACAGCACATTAAGAAAAGGTCTAGGGGGCTGGGGATGTGGCTCAAGCGGTAGCGCGCTCGTCTGGCACGCGTGCAGCCCGGGTTCGATCCTCAGCACCACATACAAACAATGATGTTGTGTCCGCCGATAACTAAAAAAAAATAAATATTTAAAAAAAAAAAAAAAGAAAGAAAAGGTCTGGACTGTGGCTGTAGCTCAGTGGTAGGGCACTTGGCCTAACACATGTGAGGCACTGGGTTCCTCAGCATCACATAAAAATAAATAAATAAAATAAAGGTGTAAAGATTTTTAAAAAGAAAAAAAAAAGTCTGTACTAATTGGGTGTATGCTAACTGTTCTCAAAATACATATTATCTATTAGTACTATTAAATTATTCTTTTTTTAAATACACATTCTTTTTTTTTTTTTAGAGAAAGAGAGAATTTTTAATATTTATTTATTTATTTTAGTTCTTGGCAGACACAACATCTTTGTTTGCATGTGAAGCTGAGGATCGAACCTGGGACGCACGGATAACCATAACAGGCAAGTGCGCTACCGCTTGAGCCACATCCCCAGCCCCTTGAATTATTCTTGATTTAACTCACTTGGGGGAAAATTTAGCCATATAAGAAACAGAAAAAAGTAAGACAACAAATACCAGGTAACTTGTATAGTTTGACCTCTGATGAACTTCATAGAGGAAAATGACCTACTGAGACACAGGAGGCACCACCCTAGATCTATGTCCCTAAAGACCCTCAAGTATCCCATTCCAATGGATTGTGACTTTTTTTTAGAACAAACGATTTTATAACTTTAATCTTAAATAAACATTACATCTAAAAACCAGAAATGTCACATAGTAATACAATTTTCAAAAAGTCTAAGTTAAATAGGAAAATAGAAAAAAGTCAAGATATTTCAAACTAAAGAAAGCAAGATAGAAAACTGGCTACCAAGCAGGATTCCAATACATTTAAGAGAGAGAGAGAGAAAGAGAGAGAGAGAGACATGAGTAAGAAACACACAAGAAGGAAATAAACCAAAATGCAAACAAACAGTGGTTTTCTGCGGGTGGGGAGATGAGAAGCTCTTGCTTCCTTTAGAAATATTAATGTATTTTCCTAGGACAAAGTGAAGGAAGGAAATGAGACCAGACAAGAGGGAAACCACGAGAGTCTGCACTAGAGGGACACCCATCTTACACAACAATGAAAACATGTTTGTTTTTCCGTTCAGTCTACAATGTGATTCCTTTAAAATCAACTGTTCCGATTTTGATAAACACTAAAATGAATATGAGAAACACAGACTGCACCCTAATATCTACATGGACTCTCTACTTGGATCCTGGAGCTGGAAAACTCTCAAGGGAATTTATCTCCTTACACACACAGAGAAAGAAGCCTTTAATGCATTTTATTACCTTATTGTGGCCTCAAAGACTTGGACGGTGGAATCTTTGTCAAAAGAAACTGTGTTGATCACTAACTTGACTGCTTTCTGGAACTCGGATGAATTTCCCATTATCTTTAAAAAGAGGAACACAAACCATTATAGCAGCTCGAAATGAAACGGAGGCAGCATCTGGGCCACTTCATCTAAATGTCTGTACTGTATGTGGTTTTGCCACTGTGGGAGTGGAAACACAAAAGGGAGAAAAGCACAGTTATTTTCACAAATCTTCTGGGACAGATGGCAAGCCTGTTTCCTGCAACTCAACAGTCCTAGCTCCAAATGGCAAAACTGTGAAAACACTTCCTCCTGAGATCTCTGGCACTCCTCCTCTTCCCACTCCTCTCTTTCTCCAGCTTCAGTCTGATTCTATTTAACATGCAAGAGATGTAGTTTCTAAAGCTTCCGGGATTAGTAAAAATAAATCAGAAAATTAAAGAAACAAAAATATGACTTTCCCTTTGCTCCTCAAATCCACAGCTTGGGTGCTTGGTTTCCAGGAGACCAAGCATCTGGAAAACTGATTGAACCTGTTGCTTCTGTCCAGATGTCTGAACACTTTTAGGAACCAGTGGGAATATTTTTTGAAGCACAGCATAAAACAAATGACATTTGAAATAAACAAAACATACAAATAATCAGCTGTATGTCCATGATTTTGGTTTTTGGTTTTGGGTTTGTTGTTGTTTAGGGGGAGGGGTGTTGGAGACAGAACCCAGGACAGAATCCATGCAAGGTAAGCATTCAACCACTGAGCAAAACCCAAAGCCCTCTATATCCATTTTACAAAGTTATCTACAAGTATGACTCCTGTTTGGGGTGTATAGTTATGTCAGACCCAGCTATGCTCCCCTACATTTAGTGCAAATTGGGCATAAAACTTTATACATTAACCTAAATGGAAATAAAATTGAACTGAATTCTGCTGAAAATTTTATGACAATATTAAGACTATAATGACATCATAAGGGCACACACATATATCACAATGAAAAAATCAAGAAAAAAAAAATAATTCTTTCAGACACGACTGCCTTTGAGTATGTCTTCTTTTTAGCCCTAATGATTTGTTACACATTTTTTTCTCCTCATTGTATTTGCTGTAATGTCAAAGCAAGTACAGAGGTTTCTTTTCTGGCTTTCAGTTCTTTCGTTTTAAAAGATTATGCAATCAATGTGGTGAGTTGCATTCAACAGTCAGGGACTGCTTCCCCCTACCCCCTGCAACCCTGAGTATGGCCAAAATACATCGGTTACAGCCTATTTAAAATGCTAGCAAAAGAAAAAAACCTCAACCTATAACACCTGAAAAAATCAGCCTACAACACTAACACATTAAAGGCCGGATGTTCTAGAATGAAAACCACAGAAATGGGTCTGTTTCCTTACAGATTTTCCCCAGCAACAATGTTTGAGCAGCTGTGGTTACTGATATGATCTCAGCCCAAGCGGAGGATGGTGAAGAAATCCAGTGCCTCTGAATTCCATATTGTAGTTTGCCACTTTAGTCAGATAGCTACCAGTGTACAAAATCATTCACTTATGACTTAGGAAAGGTGGACTGGATGATAATTAAATAGGTTTCTTTTTTTTTTTTAAAGAGGGAGAGAGAGAATTTTAATATTTATTTTTTAGTTCTCGGCGGACACAACATCTTTGTTGGTATGTGGTGCTGAGGATCGAACCCGGGCCGCACGCATGCCAGGCGAGCGCGCTACCGCTTGAGCCACATCCCCAGCCCTAAATAGGTTTCTTTACTGCAAGACTTCTCAGAGCCTTTTGAAATACTGATGTCCCAATATGGGTCTTCAATAATCAGACACAGAATTTCTTTGGTTCATTTAGGAACAAAATTCTTCTTTGGGGGAATATATCCTTGGAATGGTTGCTGGGAAATACTGGATTAGTTGAAATTCATTTTTGAACAAAACTTTGCACTTCTACAGTGTACCAGATACTATCAAGTGTCGGGGAGAATTCTGCAAATGACAGAGATAAGGTATGTATTGATCATGGGGATAAAAGATTCATTAGGGATTAAAAAAAAGTTCAGGGACAAGTGAGCATTCATTTTTAAACCAACATTCTTAGGCCGAGTTAGCCTCCAGTATCTTCAACAATGTGCTCTAATTAGGCCACACTTACTTGTCTGGGCACATTTTGATCAGTGACGGTGGATGACTCAAAGGGAGCAGCAATGACTTCAGGAGATACTGTGAAACTAAACTGCTTTGCAACTACAGCCTAACAGAAGGAAATCCAGGAGCCCAGACTTCCTATTAGACCAAGGGTCTAATCCTACTTCTGCTACTAATAAAATGAAAATGTAGAGTGATCTCTACAGTTCTTTCCAAATTCTAGAAATTCTATTACTAGCAAAATACAGAAGAGTTGTAATGCAAACATAGCTAGCATTACCCAATTCTAACTCCTAACAGAAAGCTTTAAACTTTTCTAAAGTATGTTAAAAGAAACCAGAAATAAATTATTAAATATAGAATTTGAGCTGCATTGTAATGGGAATTTTCTAATGGTAAAGTTTTGATGGATGACAGAAAAGAGTTGGGTTTTTTGTTTGTTTTTGGTACCAGGGATTTAACCCAGGAACACTTAACCACTAAGCCACATCCCTAGCCCTTTTTATATTTTTTGTTTTGAGACAGGGTCTCGCTAAATTGCTTAGGACCTCACTAAATTGCTGAGGCTGGCCTTGAACTTACAATCCTCCTGCCTCAGCCTCCAGAGCCTCTGGGATTACAGGAATGAGTCACCACACCGGGCTTAGAAAAGATGTTTTAAAAACATCACTAAGGAGATTTTATAATAATGCTAGGCTGCACTAGTCCCTGGGAAACTGTACTCATGAGGCAGCTGAGGCACACAGATAACCTGACAACATGTCCATAGTGCTTGTGGCCTGCCGCCTGTGTCACAAAACTGTTCAGGTTTCCAGTTCTAGAGTCAATGAGGGAAACCAAAGGAAAGGGTGAAACAAACACCCCGAGAGCAGTCCAGGACTGGAATGGGTAATCTCCAGCCAACAAGAGGAGTGAGGACAGACAGGCCTTACATGTGGGCTGGCAGCAGGGCACAAACACACTTCAGGAACATGTCCACCCTGAGATCTTTTACTCCTGAATTACTGATCTTAGAAACTGTATATATATCAATGACATTGTCCATGAATTCCTTTAGAGAAAAAGCAGGGAAATGGGGGAAACCGGTTCTCTATAAAACAATCATATAGTTCTTCTTCATTGTTTAAGATGAGCAATGCTTCCCTGGTCATTTAACCTTCAACCCTTCAACCTTTTGCTATTTCCATACAGGTCACTAAAATAAATAGAAGCCATCAAAGCTTTTAAGTATCAAGTTCCCTGAAATTCTCAATCCTAGGGGGAACATGGGGTTAACTCCAAAACATCTTAATTATCTCATGTAAAAAAGAGGCTGAATACTTACTGCAAGTGTATCCAACGCATCAACAAGAGTCAAAGAATAGTTCCCCAGGACATCATTGATGTTCAGATTTGAACTGAAAAGTAAGTAAAATTAAAATTAAGCAAAGGTATTTGAAAGAAGACCATAAAACTAAACACCCATCAGAAATGAAAATTGCAAGCAATTCTTATTTATTCAGACACTAGTTGTGAATAGATTGGTAGGACAAAAATTTTCTATCTCAAGAGCAAGAGTTTCTACAATGCCTGTAAGTAGAGTGGAATCACAGAACTAGGAGACTTGCTTGGACAGTCCTAGGGCAGAGAGAACTCAACAGGAAGTTAGGAAACTGAACAAGGGTCCTTTGCCCTCTCTGAGTTAATTTGCTCACCACACAAAATTTCTTTGATCCTGTCCAACTTCAAAATCCTCTAAATTCACAATCATCAGGAATTAATAGAACAGAGAAGAGCCCTAAACCCTGCTTTGGTTCATGCTAAAAGATATCCCCTCGAAATTAACAGAAATAATGGGGAGTCTGTGGATGAGATGTTAGTGGTAAAAAGAGTTTGAAGAAGCCAATTTTTTCACATGACCAAAGGATAGATGAGTAATACTGATACTGTAGCTGAAGGTATTTTATTCTTTTTGTTTGTAATGGACTGGAATGTATAATTTCTGAATTAAGTATCATAAGTAGGTCATATGATAGGGTTTCTGCTAAACTTCCCACCTTCATAATCAATACAAATTTTCCATTCTGCAACAATAAGAAACTAATTACAGGGCTGTGGGTATAACTCAGTGGTACAGCATTTACCTACTATGCACTAGGCCCTGGGTTCAAATTCAAACCCCAACATCTAAAAAATAAAATAAAAGCTTCTTGCTATAATGCCCAGCCACTAATAATTGATTAGAGGGTATATACCTGTAATCCCAGCTACTTGGGAGGCTGAGGCACGATGATTGCAAGTTTAAGGATAGAATAAGGAACTTAAGAGTCTCAAGATTAAAAAAGGGGCTGTGGGTGTATCTCAGCAGTAGAGCACTTTCCCAGCATATATGTGGGGCTAGCTGGATTCCATCCCCAGTACTGAGGGGAATAAGTGCAATAATTTTCCACAGTGGGGGAAAATGTATTTGCAATAACCCTAGTGGTTCCTTCTCTCCACTCTAGTTAGACAAATCCACTTAAAGATCTGGCATGTTAGGCCAAATGTGGTGGAGCACACTCATAATGCCAGCAACTCAGGAGGCTGAGACAAGAGGATTACAAGTTCAAGCCCAGCCTCAGCAACTCAGCAAGATACTGTCTCAAAATAAAAACATTAAAAGAGATGAGGAGGTAGCTCAGTGGTAAAGCAACCCTGGGTTCAATCCCCAATACTAAACTAAACAAAAAAAGATCTGCCATGTTCAATAGAATACTTTTAAAATTCTTTTCCAACAAATAATTGCTATATACATTCTCTTTAAAAAGTGTGAGACCATGAAATTCTCATCATTCCATCTGCCAGCAGCTTACACTGTGGACTTGTTCTTTAGACACTCTTGCTAAAGTCTAGTCTCACGTGACAGCTCTTAAGGGCCTCAAACCAAGGACTCAACCTTCTAGCACAAGGTGAGAGCTCACATCTTCCCATTACAGATGGCTGAACCACAACCAGACTCTCCATGAGTGAATGGCCACAGCATTCACCCCACATGGGAACTTTTGAAACACATCCTCTTGAAACATAAAAGATGGAGAAAACTGTGGCCTCTGATAGAAAAAATATATATATATATTATTGAACTAACAAAATCAAACTAAAGTGGTTTTTTGTTTTTGTTGTTTTTTTTTTAATTCCCACATACATTAAACCTATAACAGCTGTTCAGAAATGTACCTGGTGCTGTGTGGGTACAGAGAGAACATGAGAAACAGTCCCTGTGTTTCAGGAACTAAAAATCTAGGGAGATAAGACAAAGGGCCTTGGATGTGAATACAAAACAGAACTGATTTCTCAGGCAATGTTAAAATGAGGACCAGCATCTCAGAGCAAAGGAACAAAAGGAGAACTGCGTTAATCTGTCACCTTCACACAGCTCAATGGCAATACACAAAGAAGACTATACTGCCTCTGAAAGAGAATAGATTTTTAAAGAGAGGAAAAGAACATCTTAAATTAGGGATACCTAATAATTAGTCATTTGGGGGCCAAAATTTGGTTTGTTCATTTGCTATTTGCTTTTTGTTTTCATAGCAATATAACTGAGGAGACAGAAAAGTCATGTGCTCAGGGCCTGAATTTACAGTGAGCATTCACAGGATTACAAAAATAACATCCAACATACTCAAAGAAACTCTTGAATTTGGACCCTCTAATACAAATCGGGACTGTGAGAACTAATTCTGCATAGTGATCTATAACTGAATAGAAAAATTTGCTCTGTAAGGCACTGAGGTTTTATTTACATTGTGTTAACTCCCCTTGGGACCCTGCCCTGTCAAGCAAGAAAGGTAAGACAAGCCTGAAAGAATGACAAAAAAGATACACGTTAGGCACCCACATTTTGTTTCTGTATTTTTTATAAAATATCCTAATGGCAAGTTCATCCTACTTTTTTGAAAAAATCATGAAAATACATTTGATTAAAAAAAAAAAAAAAAGTGTGCAAGCTGGGCATGTTGGCGCACACCTGTAAATCCCAGCAGCTCAGGAGACTGAGGCAGGAGCATCACAAGTTCCAGGCCAGCCTCAGCAACTATAGTGAGACCTGTTTTAAAAGAAAAAATAAAAAGTGCTGGGGATGTTGCTCAGTGGTAGTGTCCTGAGTATCACTAAAAGCAGATAAGTAAATTATAAATAAAAAAACTGAAAGATTTATGAGATTTGTATGGAGGATGTGAATGTGCCCTACTGTTTCGAGCCAGAATGATAAAGCTGGGGTTCTAAACTTTCCTGCAAAGCACCAATGCCTAAGAGGAGTTAAAAGTAAGGGGAACATAGAAAATAAGCCTTTTCATTCTACTGCAGTGGTGTGGGGGGCCTCTACACAAGGCCACATGACCCCAGAATTCTTCCACCTCCTCAAATGTGTACCAATCAAAAGGTCAAATACCATCAGCCAACACATCTTTCCAACAACACACCTGTCTAAAAGCAAACTGACCTCAACTCACACAAGTCACCACTGAATGGTCCAACCAAACACTCATCCAAGACTTTTGCTTGAAATTAAGGCCTACATCACACATCATGCCACAGGGACCAGAGCATCAAATCAACCACCACCATGCTATGCTGAAGAGGGGCTCCCAATGCTCCAGAAGGTTCTGAAGGTTCATTAAGAAAAATATTAAAATGACATCAACTCACTATCCAGACCATCATATTCCCAGTGGAACATATTGTCACAATTCCCCTTTAAACTGTTTCCCAAATAAAGTGTTAAAAATGGACTGAGAAACAGTCTGAGAGAGAATAAGTCACTTCCTGAAAATGTTCTCCTCTTCTTGTCATACCATGAGCAGTGATGAGAAAATGCCATTAAGATCCAAAATATGTACACACACTTTAACTGCAACCATATAAAAAAATGTGTAGGCATATGGGCAGCAACTGGCAGAAAAGATAAATTAAATATAAACTGTCTGGAGGGACTTTAGGCTTTATTGTTTTATTTTTTGCAAAAATTTAATGAAGCTATTCTCTCAAAAATAAATGAAAAAAAAAAGTTGAGCTTGAAAGAAAATACATTTATAATAATAAAGTCCCCTCTGGTTAAGACAAATAACTCATTAATTCCTACAAGTATTAACTTCTACCAGTACTTTTTCAAAATTTAATAATTTTTTTCTCAAACTGATATAGTAAATACAATCATATGTAAAAAAGACTGATATGATTAAGTGAGAAAAATTACTCATCAGTTTTCTACAGTTTTTGAAAGGCCCAGGATGTACCCTCCTTGCCACACTAAATATCATGCTATCAAACTGCAAATTCAGACGTGGATGTGTAGATAAAAACCATCTGTAAAACACTTCAGTGTAGGCTTCCTTCTTAGAACCTAAAAATTGGCTTCCACTGCTTTCCAAGGAAAACAGAGGCCTCACGTGTTCCAAGGAACCCATATGTGGTGTCCAGGCATTGGGCAATTCAACTCCTCAGCTCCAACCTAAGACCAGGGAAACAGGAAGGCAGTCACCTATCCTGCCTAACAGGGTCTCCAGGAACTGCACCTCTCCGCTCCAGGGAGGAGGAGCTGGGTGTGCTGCCCTCTTGGACTCTTAAGGTCTGCCTTAGCAAACAAGGCTAGTGAATGGGGAGGGCTGGGCGACCTTCCCTGAAGGCCGCTGGCGGCTGCAGCCACGACGGCCACCAGACTGGCATTTGTGGAGCGGTACAGGGCAGTGGGGTTGACAGCCAATTCAGAGTCTAAGAGTGTCTTGAGTGTCCAGACCCCATATCTGGGCCAGAATTTCTCTCCTCCCACCTAACTCAGACTAAGAAGTCCCCTGGAGGGAGAAACATTGGAATCCCACTGCCTCCAGCTCACCGGATGGTTTTCAAGAAGTCCTTTCCAGGAATCAACTCTTCATTTTTATATAAAGAAGACCTGAGTCTGGCAATCTAATTAAAAGTGGGGAGGAGGGTCTTCTGAAGCTGCATTTACAAGGGCAGCATACAGATTTCATTAGATAACGTATCCATCTGAGAAGGAAGATCCAAAGCACCCCCCAAAAAACCAGCTTTTGGCACTGCCACAGTCCCTTCCGGTCTCTGGTCCTAAGTATCACCATCAGTAAAAGTGATGGACCGCTGTCCCTAAGTTCGCAGAGTCGCGTAGAACCAAGAAAGAGAAGAGCCGCCAGTCCACCCACGCACCCTCAAGCCCAGGAACCAGGAAGGGGTCCCCCCAGGACCCTAAAGGCCATGGCAGCCCTGGGGGCCCGGAGCAGGGAGGGCTGCACCCAGCCGCGAGGACGAAGGAAGCCCGCGGGGCGCGCGGCCCCGGGCGTCCGGCAGGCGCAGGCTACTCACGGGTCCCCGCGGTCGGGCCCCCGGCCGCGGCAGTGGATGGGGTTGAGCTCGTCCTGAGGAAAGGCGTGCGCCATGTAGTTGTCGTAGCCGAAGACGAACATGCCCCGCGCCAGGTCGCGCATCTGGGCACGCAGCTGCGGCGGGAAGGCGCCGCTGTAGCGCTTCTCGTACTCGTCCGGGCCGCAGCCCCGGCCTCCCAGCAAGTAGCCCCAGTGAGCTGGGTCGCACACGCCCCGCGCGGGCCGCCGCGGGGTCCCCGGCCGGCCCGCCGCCACCCCGACCGCAGGCGGCTGCAGCCACGACGGCCCTGGCGGACCCCCGGGGACCCCGGGCCGGCCCACGGATCCAGAGGCGGGCGACAAGAGGCCGTCGGGGCCCCTCAAGCGCTGGAAGCCGAAGCTGAGCGGAAAGCGCTGGTAGAAGCCCATGCTGGGCCCCAGCCCGAAGACAAGCCACAACACTCCATGGAGGCCGAGCCGGAGAAGCACCAGCCCCAGGACGAGCGCTCGCCATTGCATGGTCGCGCGGCCGCCGCGGGCATTATTTTAAAGCGCTGGGGACGTCCCCAGCCGACCACCGCACCCTGCGTCCGCCCTGTAGTCCCGCTCACTTCCCCTTTAAGGAACTCCCCCGTGACGCACCAGGAACTGGCCCATTGTCCCCCACCCTCAGTTTCTCTGGCCTGGCCGACCAGGCCTCGCGTTCGCCCGCCCGGTAGCCCGGGATTGGCCCGGCCCGGGCCCGGCCTCGCGGGGCGCGGCCCGGGACTCCTTCCTGCGCCATAGGCCGCCAGGTCGTCCGCAGTCGTGAGGCCCCGCCCCACCATCAAGCCCCGCCCCGAGATCAGGCCCCGCCCCTCCCTCAAGCCCCGCCCCCTGGGCGGTCCACAGTCCGGCTGGCTGGCGTGGCGAGCCCGGGTCGCTAGAGCTCCGGGCGAGGGAACTTCTAGCCAATGGGAGCGCGGCACGCGAGCGCCCGTAGGATGCCGGACAGAGACGTAGCCGTGTGACCCGCTCGGCCCAAGGTAGAGCTAGACTCAGTGACTGTACGTTTGTCCAAGCTGGAAGTGGAGAAAGCCAATCCAGGTCTGAGTTACAAGTGGTGAAGCAAAAGAGGAAGGAGTGGAAGACTTCGGGGGTTTGGGGTGGTATTCCCCATGTCCTTGCAGTCCAAAAGATTGAACCCAGGGGTTCTGTATCATTGAGCCACCTCCCCAGCCTTTTGTAATTTTTTTCTTTTGCCTGAGAGAGGGTCTTGCTAAATTGCCCAGGCTATCCTGGAACTTGGAATCCTCCTGCCTCAGCCTCTGGAGTAGCTGGGATTACTGATATCCGCTTACATTTCAGTATTAAAGAAATACTTCGCATATCAAAGGCAGGACTTGTAACTTGAGTGTCCGTTGATGGTGGGGGTGAGATGCTACACTTTATTTCAACCTGCCAAAAACCATATCTCAAATTCTACTCTTTAGTGCAATACCCTAACTTATAAGAATCTCTGGTGGTGCTTCTAAAACATATACCATGACGCCATTTTAAGCCTGTTCTTACAGAGGGACCAGGAAATGTGTTTAAAAAGTGTTTTCTTTGAGGTTGGGCATGTGCAGTGGTAGATTTCTTGTGCAAGGCCATGGGTTCGATGCCCAGCACCACGAAAAGTGTTATTTGGCAATTCTTCCCCCCCCCCCCGTGTCTTTGTTTATTTTTATGTGATGCTAAGGATGGAACCGAGTGCCTCACACATTCTAGGCAAGTGCCCTGCCATTGAGCTACAGCCCCAGCCCTCTTTGGCAATTCTTAGGACCTGGCAATTTCAGGAAATAATGAGTTATGTAATATTGCCCTTGTCTTAGAAGTATAATTTTTTTTTAAAAGGAGAAGGAGGAGAGGGATATGGGACCGCCACCCAATTATTGTTACCACACCTATTTAAATGTCCTCTCCTGCCCTTAAACTCCCACCATATGTCCTGGGCAGGGCGGCAAATGACTTAAACCTTTGAGGGGCGGGATTGATTCCTGGTTAAATCACTATACTCCTCTGTCTAGTTAAGAAGGTTGCAGCTGGAGTCTTACATAGCCCAGCTACTGAGGGGCGGGTTTGGGGGGTGGGGGGTGGTCTGAGGCAGGAGGATCTCAAGTTCAGGCTAGCCTGGACAACGGAAACCCTGTCTCAAAATAAAAACATAAAAGCATGCTGAAGATGTGGCTCTGTGAGAGTGCTTACCTAGCATATGCAAGGACTTAGGTTTAATCCCCAGTACTGCAAAAAGAAAGAAAAAGGAAGAGGGAAAGAGAACAAGAAAATGCATGCAAATTTCAGCTCTTAACAATATGATTTTCAGGTAAAGATTCAACACTTTAGGGATTCTAAATGCTTATTTTAAATCTAAGTTTCAAACCATGTGACCTTTAAACCAGGAATCCTAAAATTTGGGAAGCAAGACTTGACTGGACCTCCAAATCACAGACTTGGCCAAGTGACCAAGGGAGTGATTAAGAGGATAGTGAGTTGTCATATGACACTCTCACCACATATTCAAGGTCAGGGGACTTTCTGCAATACTAAGGAGTTGTGATGGGGACTTAAGAAGAAACGTTTGATTACATCACATGGTAGCTGGCTCATAGTAAGGTCAGTTTTGTTGACTGAATCTTTTTCCTCTTCCAGGGTTGAGGTAGGTAGGCCCAAGCAATATAGAGAACACACACATAACACACACACCAAAAAAAAAAAAAACCCTCAAGCCAAGGTATTTTGGCTGCATATTTTGCATGTTCCCCTCTATGAAGGCTGCCTAGGGACCCTGCTGAAAGCCCAACCCCTTGCTTGGATCCACTATCTTCAAGTTCTATCTCCCTAGAACTTGCAAAGTTGTACCTTCTGTCTCCTCCTTAAGCTACTTTCTTGAAAATCTTAACTTAAATCTGTCTCGTACTACAGTCAACTATACACCACGTTAGCGACAGCTCCTGTCCTCACACTGAAGAAAACCTGTAATAAAAATAAATCTCAAAAATAACCATAGAAAACCATCCGATTTCTGAAAGATGTTTCTCATGATATAACTATAGCTGCCAATAGTATAGGTCTTATGTTTTCAGAACATTTTTGAACACCATGTGTCCCCATTTAATTGTCACAGAAAACGACATAAAATTGATTCCACAGGCCATAACAAAAGAAATCAGGTAGCAAGCTCAATTCGCAGAGCTCATTGGCTCTAGGCAGAAAAAGAGCTACTGCCCAGGTCTCCCACACTTTAGCCCAGGACAGTTTACATTACAAACTGCTGGCCTTCAGGCCAAGAAAGACTCTTCTGAGGCCACTCCATGGATAATATGACATTACTGCCCTGCAAGGCACAGGATCAATTTAGGGGCCAGATACAAAAAATGTTTCCTTTTCAAATTAAATTGAAATGAACCGATTACCTTGTGACAAGCCCTTTAAACTAGGACATGCCTCAAAGTAAATGTAGCTGGTAAAATTGAGAAAATACCCGTATCTAATCAGAAAACTTCATCCTTAAAAATCAAATCTCTGTATCTGCCTGTAATTCCAACAACTTGGGGAGTCTGAGGGAGGAGGATCAAAGTACAAGTTCAGCCTGAGCAATTAAGTGAAACCTTGTCTCAAAACATAAAAACAGCTGGGGATATGGCTCAGTGGTAGAGTTCCCCTGAGTTTGCTCCCCACTACCAAACAAACAAAACAACACTAGGAAATAAAAGTTGATTCATGAATGATTTCTGGGTATGTAATCTCAAAAAAAGTAGGCACTTTTGTTATGAAAATGTGGGAAACACCAAAAAGATGACAGCTAAGAAGCCAGACTCAGAAATCTGCCAGGGATTGGCAGGTGTTCAAGTCATAGATCTGCTCTCTGAGTGACCTTGGGAAGTTGCTTTTCTGGTCCTGTTGCCTTATCTACAAGATGGGGAAGTGATGAAAACAGTACTTACCATGCAGCAAGATTCAATTATTACACATATGAAGCATACCTACAATTTGCTACACATATGTCAGGCCCTATTATTAATACTCTGTGAACCTTTTTAGACCAGTAACTAGTAAAAATATCTGGTACCAGCCAGGCACAGTGGCACACACCTATAATACCAAGCTTAGGTGGGAGGGTGGCCAGTTCAAGGCCAGCTGAAAGAAAGAAAAAAGAAAAAAAAAATATCTGGTACATACACATCAGAGATCTGTTGAGTGGATTGAAAAACTAAGCCCCTCTTATATGCAAAGTACTATTTTAGTACTTAACTTTGGAGAAAATATAGCTAAGGAAATCAAATATCACAAGGGCTACAACACCAAAGAACAGCTGAAAAAGCCTTGGCTCCTCAAGCTAATTGGAGTCCTAGTAAGTCAGCCAGTGGCAGCTTCTACACAGGACTATCCTCAATCGCTGTGATTTGGGATTACATCCCACAAGGTGATCCAATTTGTTATAGCTTAGATACACGGTGTCCCCGCAAAAGCTCATGCATGAGACAGTGCAAGAAAATTAAGAGGTGAAAAAGTCCCCATAAAAGCTCATGCGTGAGACAATGCAAGAAAGTTAAGAGGTGAAAAAAATCAGGTAATGTGTGTCTTAACCTAATCAGTGAGATGCTGCACTGTTCACAGGTAGGGTATGACTAAAGGAGGTAGGTCATTAAGAGCTTGCCTGTCCTTTAGTCAGGACACACATGCTCTTAATGACCTTTTTGTCCTTGTTGAGGGGAGCTCTTTCTCTACTTCCAGGTGGCCTTGTCTCAGTACTTTCTTCAGCTATACACTTCCGCCATTGTGTTCTGCTTAACCTCTGGTCCATAGCTATGGATGGAGTCAGCTCTGTGAACTGAGACCTCTGAAAATCTGAGCGTCACATAAACTTTTCCTCCTCTAAAATAGTTCTCAGGTCTTTGGATCACAGCAGTGAAAAAGCTGACTGAAACAAAGTTCAATCTCCTTCTATAGCTGGAAGGAAGTGATCTGGCTAACATATTTCAGTGCCTTTCATACCATTATAAATAGGCTGACATTCTATTTCTTAGAGTCAGCCTTATGAGTCCTGAGTGCATGAATCAATGCACTAGGTTCCTAAAACTGTAAAGCCAAAAAAGGACTCTATAAATTACCTCAAATAATAGTCCCAGAGCTTCCTATATTAAATACTAAGGATAAAATATCAAAAGGAGGGCTGGGGTTGTAACTCAGTGATAGAGCAGTTGCCTACCATGTGTGAGGCACTGGATTCAATCCTCGGCACCACATAAATATAAATAAATAAAATAAGGATATTCTGCCATTTATAATCAAAAGTAGGAAAAAAATCAAAAAGAAAAATTTTCTTCCTTAAGGGGATAAAAATAAATGACTTCTTATCCAAAACAATAATGTTAAAACAATCAGGTGATATGATGAAAACTTTAAACTGATTGATGTATCATGCTGAAGCAATATATAATGCTGTATAGAAGGAAAAATCAAGCAAAAAATAAAAAAAAAGAGGATTATCTGTAATTCAGGAGATCTGCTCCAGAATAAAGTTGACTTTATTTTCAAAGTCCTGTAAGAGCAACTAAATTTCACAATTTTTAAAATTAAATACTATATAATTATAGTTCCCACTTCTTTGGTGGACAGAAATGTTAGCTTGCAAATGTACTGTTAGCAAGACACAGGGGACAAACTAGCAGAAATAAAAACTAGTACATCCCCTCTGAAGGGCAATTCTTAGCATATATAAACACATTTACCAGTTGACCCAGATATTTCTGAGTTTCTACACATGTACAAAATGATTCCCTACACT